ATTGATTGGTTTGATGAACGAGGCTAGTCGTTTAAAAATTGAAAATATCCAACAATATTTTACGTAAAATCTTTTAGGCACGGAACATCCAAATATCTCATACTCAGATAGATGCCAGCTAATGAACATAAAATTTTTACGGGTTCGAAGACTAGAAGCGGGCTTCTGTCTCCTCTTTCGCATTAATCATAGTTCAAATTTTCCTCGGATTTCAGCACTCACCCCTAGTAGTCGCCCATACAATCTTTGCAACTCGTCCTTGGTTATACCTCCTCCAGTGTCCTCCACCTCTAAGCGCAACCTTTTTTTCTCTTTCAGATATACTTTCCTCTGGAATAACCTTCCAATAAATATAAGATCTTCAGAAAATCTACACACCTTTAAGAGAAGGCCACGCCATTTTATGGATACTGATTCAATCAAAGTTTTATTTTCCTCATCCTTCCCAGACAACTTTTTCTGTGACACTGAGAAAGGGCCACCGGGAATTTAGTTTGCCGCTATTAAATTTCCGTATCTGTTCACATTTCCTTCCTTTGTGAGTAGTCTCGCTTCCTAAGATTCCTCACCAAAAATGTTAAGTTTTCCAATTTTTCAGTTCATGTATCTCGCCCTCACAGAATGCGCTACATCGATGCTCATGGCGAAACCTTCTGTATTCGCCATATACTAGTAGTCTGGTCGCATCTCCCTTGCCCCATCCTCGGATGGACTTGGATGAATGCAACCGACCGCATCTGGGTTCCTATCGCCTCGAAATTGGTTTTAAATTCGCCACACTGACATGAATGGCCTCATCCGACATATGAATTCTCCCGTGATGATTCCCGATTCGAACCTTTTCTTCAACTCTACGTACAGACCAGTCCTGCCTGACCCGCCTACTTACCCCTCCACGAAATCCGTCATATAATGCCATATGCAGTCCAATCCTGACTGCTTTTTATATATTAAGGAGCGAGAGTTTTTTTTCCTTTAGTTTTAATCCAATCATACTCATTTTGTAGATGCTAGAAGTTTTTTAATTGCTCGCTTAACATTCTTCGTAACATGCTACTTATTCAAAATCTATGACTTAGGTAATCTTATAATTCTGTCTACCTCGTCTAAAATTCTAAAATTAATGTAAAAGTTATTCTTACTTGCAATGATAGGACCCCCACGGGTTTAGAATAAAAATTATTATTATTAACCCTGACGATCGGGTATTATAACCGGTTCGTCTCTCCCAGATCTGTCTCTTATCTGAATATTATCCATAGGAACAACCTTTAGTCAGTCAGTAACGTGAAGTGAGGTATGCAGTTTTAATAGGTAGAAAGGTTGAGAGAGAAACCGTAACTAACCAATAAAAACGATACAGTCCAGGGTTAATGCATACGTGATTGATGTGAGGAAGACGTCTTATCGGAGGACGAATCGGCAGGGTGGCCCGAGACGTTGTCAGACCAGGCTAAAAGAGAGGATACCACCACTAGGTAATACAAGTAAAATGAAACTGAGAGTTAAAGACATAAAAAGTTTTCCCCTGTTTTCCTTCACCATGAACGCTTCACTAATTGACGGTCGCCAGTTTTTTGGACAGATGCCTAGATCCGGTCACATCGCTCATTTGTTTCCCCGACGACTAATCGTATTTACCTGGACTAACAGCAGAAAAAGGTTGAAATGGGTCGCTTGCATGAAACTTTGAATGGCAGGAATTGACAAAAGGTGTCAAAATAATACTACAGCAGGTAACATGTTGTCCCCGATAATACTACATTGTGGGTAAATGGATCGGTTGTCTCATATAATGTCATACAATCTTACAGGGATGTAAGGACGTCCAGTTGTGGAGTTATATGATGGTCGTAGTAGATCATTCGCTTCCTTGTGTGTGTAGACTACGCCTAACATCTACTAACTGGCTCCCTGAAGCTGGGCTCTGTTTAGCGACCACACGCCGGTAACTGGCTCGAGCTGCGAACTAAACTAAATAGGTAGATAGATAGATAATTTTTATTAAAGACCCGTCGGGGTCCCATCAAAGCAAGTTAAAATAAAGTTGCATGCGAGATTTAGACGAGGTGGGCTGAATATTTACAAAATGCAATTCATAGTTTCTGAATTAGAAGTCCATTGAGAAACATGAAGATTGAGGGGTGAAAAAAACTCCTCGGAAAAAGTTAAAAATGATTGGATTAATTTTACAGGAGAAAAAAACCCCTCTTTAAAAATAATAACAGAAAAAATCGAGCAGGACTGGCCTGTAGGTGGCGGTATATAACGGAATGTTGTCGGTCATCGTTAGGGTATCAATAAATGTCCGCCTTGATGGGTACGAATGTGGGTCAGACAGGACTGGCTTGCAAATGGCATTGTATACGGGATTCACAATTGAGATCGTCTGGGCCGGATTGGTACGCCGCGTCAAAGAGGCCAGACGAGAG